AACATGTAGCGTTAGCGATCCATGCGATTTTGGACATAATTGTTCGCAAATTTGCACCTATATAAACGGATCTGAAATATGTTCATGTACGAAAGGTTACGCGCTAACATATGGAAGCCAGACTGAATGTGAAGATGTCGATGAATGCAGCCTCAATCCTAGTCCATGTAATCAACTATGTACAAACAACGATGGTAGCTGTACATGTAGTTGTATGAACGGCTATCGATTTGGTTCAGATGGTTGGACATGTGACGATATTAATGAATGTTTAGAAAATAATACCTGTAGTCAAAATGCAAACCGTACAAACGCACATGGTTCATATTGTGTTAGCGCGTAACCTTTCATGCATGAACATATTTCAGATCCGTTTATATAGGCGCAAATTTGTGAACAATTATGTCCAAAAATGGATCGCTATATGTTCGAACACAGCAGAATCTTATACTTTTTACATATCAAGTAGAGTATCAAGGTGATAATATGAAATTACGGGCTATACTCTTGTCTGTAGCGCAAATTATTGTCAAAATCGTGGAACTTGTACATCTGAAAATAATCAGCGCTTATGTATTAGGCATTTTGCAAAAGACCTAAAGAATTTCAGGCATTTTGCAAAATGCCGGATTTCGCAAATTGCCGGTAACATAAACTTACATCAGTACCGTATGTACATATTCCACATAAATTGTAATTACATACTCCTATCTCTGTTGTATACAGCTAATTATCCGGTTTATCTAAGGCAACTCGACTTTTTTGTAAATCTATGTCCCTACATCACAGCTTTAGCAGGGTAATTACAGTAAATATTTAATAACTAAGGAAGTGATGCAAATTTGAGGAATTTTTATTTGTGTTCGTAGTTAAGATTTCAGTAAACTGCTATTCCTATTTCACATGTAAAATTATTTCTTCATTCCGCCTAAACCTAATTACAAACAAAGCAGCAAGTTAACTGTCTGCTATACGCTCATTCATTACTTTAGATAATATACTTATGATTAATATTGACGTTAACGTATGTACCGGCA